CAGCGTCACACACGGCGGCCTTGAGTGAGCGGAGGCTGGAGGCCTAGAGTGAGCGGAGGCGGGAGGGTTTGAGAACGGCGCAGCCGGTGGGCTTGCGACAACCACATGTGACGACCTCGGGCTGGACTCCGCTTCTATCGTCCTCTTTTGGAAGGCCAAACAAAGTAGTTTCGCTTTCACAACGAATCACACAGCACATTCATGACATGGCGGCGGCAGCAGCAACAATACTACAGCGAGAATAAAAGTTACGACTTCTTTCTTTGCGTGGTGAGACTGAAGACGGTAATGTTGGCTGCTGGAAATTCAGCTTTGAATCACAGAAATAAATTACATTTTAAAAATGTATTAATATAGAAAACATTTACTTTAAATTGTAATAATATTTCACATTATTACTGTTTTTATTATATTTTTAATCAAATAAATGCAGCCTTGGTGAGCATAAGAGACTTCTTTTAAAAGCATAAAAAAAAAATCTTACCAAGCCCAAACATTTGAATGGTAGTGTATCTAATACTAGAATGTGGGATTTGTGTTTTTGTCTCACTTCCTTATTTCGCCCTGTTTTAGAACATTGTTGCAGTGGGCGCAGGCTTCTGTGATGGTCTGCAGTGTGGAGACAACACCAAAGCAGCTGTCATTCGGCTGGGATTGATGGAGATGATCGCCTTCGCCAAACTCTTCAGCAAAGACGATTCTGTATGTTCCGCCACGTTCCTCGAGAGCTGTGGCGTGGCTGACCTCATCACCACCTGCTACGGAGGACGAAACCGGTGCGTGGCAGAGGCTTTTGCCAAGACAGGGAAGGTAAAAAGAAAACCGATTTATTTCAGCCTTTCATCACTTGCCTGATGCCATGTAATGTATGTTTTATGGATTGAAGGAAGGAAGACACTGAGCATTAGGCACATTTGCTGATGCAGAAAAGATCAATACAGATTTATTTTTCTTTCAGAGCATCGAGGAACTGGAGAAGGAGATGTTAAATGGACAAAAGCTTCAGGGACCATTGACTTCTGCTGAGGTCTATCATATCCTCAAACAGAAGGACCTAGTGGATAAGTATGTGTAAACGTTTTTTGGTTGTTAGAAGTTATAAATAACGCAGTCATAATTATACAGGTGCATCTCAATAAATTAGAATGTCGTGGAAAAGTTCATTTCTTTCAGTAATTCAACTCAAATTGTGAAACTCGTGTATTAAATAAATTCAATGCACACAGACTGAAGTAGTTTAAGTCTTTGGTTCTTTTAATTGTGATGATTTTGGCTCACATTTAACAAAAACCCAGCAATTCACTATCTCAACAAATTAGAATACTTCATAAGACCAATAAAAAAAAACATTTTTAGTGAATTGTTGGCCTTCTGGAAAGTATGTTCATTTACTGTACATGTACTCAATACTTGGTAGGGGCTCCATTTGCTTTAATTACTGCATCAATTCGGCGTGGCATAGAGGTGATCAGTGTAGCGTCTGGACCAATCAAACACACAATTTTTCATTT